TCGAGCTTTCTGGTGCGAGTCCTAACTCCAACGAGAACTAATGTCCCTTGAATCTTCAGCTTTGTAAATCTTAATTCAACTGAACTTTCTGACCTGATCTTCATGGATGAACATGTATTGTGGATGTCTTGTTCTTTCAAGGCCAATAGCGATGACTGTTTGTGACTGGTGCTTATTCATGGATAAACCAATTTGGGAATGCCAAAACCACCCCTTTATGTTTTTCTATGATGTCAAATTGGTCCTTGTATTTTTGTGCTGCGATAACATTAACAACTGTAGGAGATTTTTTTTTTTCCTTTCAAGCATAACGGGTATTTAAAAGTGGAAAGCCTGAATCTTTGTTAGTTTTTGCCTTCTTGAAAAGAAGTTCTTGGTGCGGCGAAAGGTGCAAAGCAGCTAAATAGCGCAATCATATACTTGGTAATATAGAGAAATTTTGACAAACATATAGAGATTAATTTCAAACAGCAACTTTATTTCAATCTTTGCTGTGTAAAAATCCTACTAATATGATTTGTTTCGTAAGATAGACGTACGACTCTCAACTGTTGGAAAAAGAAGTTAGAATATTTTTCATTGTATAATCATTTGTTTCTAGTCTAGACTGTTGGAAAAAGAAGTTATCATGTGATTGAAAGTTTAGTTGTCTAATAATTCTTTTTTGAATTTTTCTTAGAGACAATTTTTTTGTAGACATTTTATAAAGCTTCTGTTACATGTTTTAATATGTACATATTAAAATATCACCCTTAGCTAGAAGAAAAACAAACACTTTGTTGTAAGGAATAAAAGTTTGTCACAAGAGATCACAAACACTTTATTGGGAAAAAAAAAAAATGTTTGACGACAATATTTATTATTTGTCACGCATTTTGAAATATTACGGCAACTTTTTAGGAAACAATACATAAATCCTACATCTAAGAATTACATTTCAAAAATAACAAACTCCAAAAATCTTTTCAAAAATCAGGTGTTTAAGAAATTTATTAAATATTAGAATATAATATAATATACATTAATTATTTTTACTCATGCCATCTNAATATAATATACATTAATTATTTCACTCATGCCACCTCACACACCCCATCCTATCACCCCACTACACCACATTCCCTCCACCTCTTGATCGGAGACGGCCATCGGCTTCGGCAATTGTTTCGACGATCACTCCAGTGGCCGCTTCGGTGACTTTCCGTCGATCACTCCGGCCGTCGATCCGGGGCTATTTTGACGATCATCCCGACGCCCACTCCGACGGCTATTCGACGATCCCTCCGGCAAGCTGCTTCAATGACCACTCCAACGCATATTCCGATCAACCTACCCACCCGATCCACCCACTCCCCAACTTCCAAAAAAATTTCAGAATTTCAAGTCACAATCGATCACAACGAGTCACAATTAACTGAGCACAATCGGTCACAAACAGTTATAATCGGTCACAATCAGTCACAATAAGCACATATTTGGCCACAAATGGTCACCACGAACAATCTGTACACACCACAGCAAACTGGATCAAAAAACCACCAACAAACTCCAACAATTCAAAAATCAAATCTACATAAAATAATTGATTTGTGTTGTTCTGCACTAAATTTTTTTCTACCCCCATCAACCACCACAACCCACATCACCACCACTTCCAAACTACCGCTA